TGACAAGATATTCTTGTGGCTTGCCTTTGGTATAATCTGGTACAAAAAATAATGTTTGGATGACAGGAGAAAAACAGCATTCTTGAATATAGTATTCTGAAATACAATCAGTTAATATTTTCTCTTTCTGCAGGTCCTCTTATACTGTGCTGTTGCATTTGTTTTGATATTCCCATTTGATATTTTTTACTTGTCATCCCGCTACTACTTGCTAAGGACTCTTTGGCGGATAGTTTTCCCGTTACAGGCAAGTTAGAAATTTTTATTTTTTTATTTTTTATTTTATTTTATTTTTTTTCTTGTCTCTATAATTCTCATTGTGGTAATTCATGCCAATTTTCAACCTTTTGAGCTGTCGAATGGACTTCGGAATCTAATAACCAAGACCTAAAAAAGCTCCATGAGTAAGTATCAAAAAATTTGGTGGCTTGTAGCTCGTTGCCAAAGATCTACTTGTTTGATATGAGTTTTAGTTGGTTTGGAACCGAATGGATGCTTGTTAACTGTTTGTAGCAACTGCTTTATTTGACCAGAATGCTATTAGACTCCTAAGTCCTACCCATTATGAACCCAGAATGAGCACTATTGGACAATTAACTCATTGGTATAATGCTCAGGAGAGAATATACTGTGATTACCACTTTAGTTCAAACTTTGTGTCTTTAAATGTTATGTTATTACCCTTAATTTTTGTTTCCTCTGTTGTTACAGGCTATTACATTTTCTGACTTCTTCGTGGCTGATATTTTGACTTCCATGTCAAAGGTATATGCTTTGTTTTCTCTTAGTGCTGATGTTGTCTTCTGTGGTCAATTTCAAAATAAGAGCGTTTGGAACTTTATTTGAAAATGTTTAATGTCTGCAGCATTTAAAAGTGTTGTATTTAGTGTTGGCTTGAGAACTCTACTATATGCAAGGATTCCATATTGCTGGAGAATCAGCTTGGAACTAGCTGATAAAGTGTGTAATTTGGATTGCCCTACAATATACGGGATAGAGAAACTATTCTTGATGGCTTCATTTATTTTCTGTCTGGAATGAAATGTATCATGGCCATCAATGCATCATCCATTTTGTCAGGCTTGCACTTTCCTTTGTCGTAATGTTCTGAATAAACATTGTGGAGAATATGACATAGTTGTAACAAATAATCATGAGCAATAATTAATGTTGTATTCAGAGTGACAGATAAGGAAATGTCTTCTTGATGTTTGTTGACTATTTAACTGCTGCTATACTTGCTTGATGTTCTTATAAGTGCCAGCTTTGTGCAGGTGTTCTCAGATCTGGAGCGTTCAGTTTGTCGAATGGTCCATCGCCAGGTCAGTGTTTTGTTCCTTTGATAGTCTTGCTTTTTACTATATTCAATCTAAAATGACCTATTATTGGTTTTGTGAAACTTTTTATATCTTATAGGATTTTGTGCATTTCTTTTAGCTCACATTTCAAGCCACTGATTTGAACTGCCTAGCATAACCTTCAAATCTAACTTGCAGCAGTTTCTATCTTCACAGTGCTAAGCTGAATGCCACTTCTTACTTGTATGAATGTGTTTTGCTACAAATGATGGTTCTATGAGGCTTATTACAAGATATTTTCTGTGCAGGTTGCCACTATAGCATGGTTTGAAGCTGACTCTGTTTGTGGTAGCCACTCCATTGGGATCCCTATAGCTCTAGTTTTGCCTTACATTTTTCGATTATTTCAGTGTCTTCGACAATACAAGGATACTAAGGAGAAAACAGCTCTTTTTAATGGTGAATTTGCATTGAAATTTCCTTTCTCTTTCCTCTAATCCATGTGCTAGTTTGTAATTTGGTGTTCAGGCAAACAATTCTAGATTGTATTATTTTTTTTTCTTCCTTTTGGGTTTCATATAAGGCATGTTTCCTATTAACTTTATTTACTTACCATTTCAGCATTAAAATATTCGACTGCAGTGCCAGTGATTTTTCTTTCAGCCCTTAAATATCATGTCCTCCCGGATAGTTGGACAAACTTCTATAGGCCACTGTGGCTTCTCTCAGGTGTCTTAAACTCATTGTATTCATTCTACTGGGATGTGACCCGGGATTGGGACTTGAGGTATGATGATTGCTTTTGTACTGTTTCACAATTATAATCTGAAAATAGTCACTTGCAAGTGATCTCCAAATTAGATTATTCAAAAATGCATTGCCTAGCTTGGTCTCACTTATTGAGAATCAACTCACAGGACATGCTAAAACATTCCAGAGTTTCAGTTTCTTTTTCGTCTTTTGAATTGTATTTGGTGGTCGGGTTCCCAGTGTGCCCACTGCTGTTGCTGGCATTGCTTTGCATTCAAAAGAGCATGTAGAAACTTTAAACTACGAAACACCCTTTTCTGCAACTTATCCTTTGTATTATTACTAATAATAAAATAAGACTTCATGAGAAATTGGAGTTATAATTGTAGTTTCAAAGGATTATTGAAGGACTATTATTTGACTTCTGGATTATTTTTGTTCTCTTTTTTTCAGACAAATTGTTTTACTTTACCCATTATGTTAATTTGCTTGACATCATTTGGGAATATGAGCTGCTATTGAAGCCTGATTATTGATTTTCTCCAAGCCTTGTTACATCTTCAAAAATTATTGACTGATGGGTCTGATATTGAATTTATTTTCTTTTGCTAGCTGCTTCACCCGAATTTTCAAATTCAACAAACCGAGTCTCTTTGCCTACCTATTACATGGAAGAAAATGGGTAAGAATTCTACAGTACTACTCACAGCAAGTTTTTTAGGATTGTGGCTGACCTGTCTAGTCTAGTTAAACCGTTTCTCATACTGTTGATGTGATTGTTCAACACCTAAATCCAATTATTCATAGGCTATCAGACAACCAATTTGCCCAATGACACTTATGCTTAACTGATTGACCAATTGTTTTCAGCATAATCTTCATATTATCTTTCGTAAATGGCTCCTGACTCCAGACTGACTCACTGACGGAGTCAACCCCTTTCCAAGTGGAATGGTGGCAAACTAGTTGTTCTTTGTTTTGTTAAACTGTATAAATTTGGAGTTGCAGGTTTATATTTGGGTGATAGGAAGCAACTTGATTCTGCGTTTGGCATGGACTTACAAGCTGTCTGCCCATCTCCGCCATAATTACCTTACGGTGTTCACAATCACTGCCTTGGAGATGATTCGCCGGTTCCAGTGGGTTTTCTTCCGTGTCGAAAACGAATGGAATAAAATGAGTTCCAAGTCAAATCTTCAGCTTGCGGAGATCTCATCAGAGGAAGACAAATTACTTGCTCCTAATGATCACAATGTATAGATAACAAATGCGGTTTTAAACAGCAACCTCCATTTTTTTGGCTGGAAAGGGTTTATCCATACCACTTTTAGTTTTAGTCTAAGTCTATATGATCATTCAAATTTTTGTTCAAAAAAGGAATAGGTTGTTCAAAGATACCCAATTTAGAAGATATATATCATTCATCAATTATGTTATTATAAATGCTTAGCTTTCTTATTCGATGGTCTTCGTAGAAAATTGATGCGATTCCTTACCGTTTTGGGTTTCAAACCTTTCAGTTATGACATGGATTCTGCAGTGCTGCAGCAAGCATTTCCTCATACAACCAACGTTGTCATAGATGGCAATGGAGGTTCATGGAGATGGAGGATGCGCCTTCTATCTCCACCTCAATGAATTCCTCACATCCGTCGTATCTGTTGGATGTAATTTTCAAGCCACCATTTTCACATTCCTTGGAAGAAAACCTCCATTAGAGGTCCTCTTGCCATTTTCTACAAGTCATTGTTTGTTAAACAAGATACATAATCCATTTAAAAAACTTTAAATGCCAAACAAAGTTAATGTATGTAAACTAAACTACTTATGCAATATATGCATGATATAATAAATTGTTAATATATAGAAATCTGGATTTCGAATTTCATAAACTGAAAAATATCTTTCTAACATCTATATCTAAATTTGTTGTGAACTTCATCCTTCTCCACTTCTGTCTCCATGAATATAAAAATCCCTCAATTTTCTTCTCTATTTGGATAAATAGAGATGGATTTCCTTGGAGGTAAATACAATTGCCATCCCTAAATGCTAGAAATTTATATATGCTTTTCTAGTTCTCGTAATATGTATTGAGTACTTCATTTTTTTTTATTTTTTTATTATTTTGGCATTTGAAGGATAATATTCAAAGTTTTAAATTGTGGATTCTGTTGAAAAAAATAACCGTAATCACTGATCCCAACTAATCGTCACAATAAAATAACGATTTAGATAAATTATATCATAAATATATTAGCATTGAGGCTAAAATTTTATTTCTTTTAGTATAATGATGTGAAACATCAACAAAATTCTTAAAACACTCAATAGCACCCAACAGGTAGGATTAGTGAGCAGATGAGACTAAATTGATCAAAACAGGACTGAACTAATTAAAGAATAGAAATGGTCTTTATCCTGTCTCATGCATGCACCAAATAATACACTTGTACGAACTAGTGTACTGTTCTATCAAGCTAGTCCAACTAGTCCAAACGTGCCAAACGCTACCAAATGGTGTATTAACAACAAGCCCTTGAGATTCTGGTAAGCCGTCATTGCCGCTAGAAAATAGGGATTTCCTTGTCATTGTTCTGCTTTCTGGCTAAGCCAGGCAAGCTGAGCCACTTGTTTCATGAATCGTTACTGTCCAAGTAAGGTCCATCTTCATTCTCTGTCATGCACCACCCTTGGAGGCTGGGACCCCTTACCCTAATCCATATTCCCACATCCCACCATTCAAAGCTCAAATACCGAAATACTTCATTTCTTCTACAACATCAAATCCCATCACCTTGTACCTTAGTTGCACTGGACGTATCATCAACGTACACGTGTCAACAAACCACTCCAGCCCCCGTACTCAAACTAGATAACACCCAAACATGCGCAAAAAATGTTTCTAAAACTCTCTTTAATTACTTGAGACGGCAAAAAAATGGTGTTTAAATGTTAGGCTCTGGCGACCTCACCACCAACCTCAGCCGGCAGCCAGAGCCGAGCCCATCTGAGTCAACAACACCAAGGGTCCTAACCATATTGTCGTATGTGTTAGAGAAGCTAGTGGCTAGAAATGACAGGCTTGTAGATGGGATGAGCTCTGGTTTGGCTTGGGTTGGGAAGAGCTTGAATGTGTTCCATGGTGTGAGGGCCCCGAATATAAGCTTAGTAAAGTACTTGGAGAGACTGTACAAGTACACGAGTTGTAGCCCATCATGTTTTGTGTTTGGATATGTTTATATAGACAGGCTGACACATAAGCATCCGGACTCTCTTGTGATATCATTGAATATACATAGGTTGCTTGTTACAAGTATCATGGTTGCTTCAAAGGTGCTGGATGATGTGTGAGTATTCTCTCTTTCATTCATTTGCTTTTATATGCTTTCATGTATCTGTTATCTAAGTTCGATTTCTTGCTATATTGACCATTTTTCTCCCATGAAAGGTCTAGTGGATCCGGAACCATACAATGAGATTAAACATCTTTCGATTCCTAAATTCCGATCTTATTTCTTTCACGATCCGAGCTAAAACCTCCTTCCTCGAATAAATATTAAGTTTTAATGTTCGGGTGTGTCTGCTTAAGGATTATATTGACATTTATTTATTTATTATTATCATTATTTTTTTTTAAACTTTTGGAAAATGCTGACAAGCAAGGATAACAATTTAATCCATAAAAATTCTCTTAAATGCTGTGTGTTATTTATTTATCAGAAAAAATATTGTTTATCTAAACAGAGAAGAATCTGATCATTAGTGTTTCCACCACTAGATTTATTACATTTATTGAATGTTGTAGCAGAATTCAAATCAAAATTTGAAAATTATGAGTGCATTCTATGGGCTTATAATCATATATGTCGTGTAAATCGGAAAATAGGCTAAACAACAGTATTTTTTTACCCTTTGGATTTGCGATATTACAGGCACTATAACAATGCATTCTATGCACGGGTTGGAGGATTAAGCAATGCAGAATTGAACAGGCTTGAAGTGGAACTCCTTTTCCTCTTGGATTTTGGGCTTATGGTCAGCTCTCGAGTCTTTGAGAGCTATTGCCTGCATTTGGAGAAAGAGATGATGTTAAATGGTGCAACACAGAGAATTGAAAGGCTCATCATCTCCAATGCTGCTGATGATGTTACAGAGATATCAGTTGAAGATACTCAAAGTTCTTCACCACCTCAAGTAATGGACTGATCGAAGTTGCTCTTTTTCTTGGCTTAGTAATTCTTGCAACATTGGTCGCTTAATCATCAACTACACCTGTCTGCATGTCACTTGACTTGTGTCTTATTAGTATTGCATACTCTTCCTTCTTCATTTCTCACTATTTGTATTTATTTTATTTGGTTAGTCGATCATTGTTTTTATGAGTCACAATACTAAATCTATCTACTTTGACAGGTCTAATGGCTAGTCGTTTGATCAATTGTTTAGAGCACCATACACATTTTGGCGACTCTATAAATCTTCAAAGTCTAAGATAATAATGTTGCATTTTCCCATGCCTTCAGTAGTGTTACCCAAATACTTCTAATAGGTAGACTACCCCAAGCTACTATCCCTTAAACATGATGCCACCAACCGATAATGTAGAAGATGGCCCAATACCACCTATTCAATGGAATGATAAGGAAGGCATCCTTTTACCAATCCCCAATGTGTGATTGTGTATGACTACCAACTCTCTCTTCATGTTATTGCTTCTAATGATTAACGCCATTATCTTAATAAAAAGGACTTAGAAATTTTTTTTCAAACAAATAATGACAAATCTACTAGCAAGTTTAATGTCAAATTTCTCTATCCAACCCATCTTTCTATGAGGCCTTATTGAAATGACTATGTGAGTCTCAAGTTCAAAGTTTTAATAGAAAACAAAGGGATATCAAAGGACATCTTATGAAGTATGTAGTGACCCTAGACATTTATGGTTTAGATAATGATATGAAACTAAAAGATTTTTTAAGTCCTTGGATGAGAAGGCATACTCCTCGTAATCTAAACCTAACCCTTGGCTTTGTCCGGATGTGGGTAACTATGTGCCAGTTCACTAAGAAATTTTTCTCCATCAATGAGAGGGTGACAATATATGACTTGGATTAAAAAAAAAAACCAAGGTTCTAGATAAGGTTTGTTAGAATACATTAAACAATTCCATATAAGAAGGCTTCGATGAGAAAAAAAAAAGACATCAAACTATGTATCCCGCATATGTACAAAGAGTATATGATACATCTTTAGAATTTAGATTTAATCCCTTTTTCTACTTTAGTGGAAAGCATTTGTCGGACTAACAACTCTATTTCCCTTCTAGAAAAAATGTCTTCATCTTGTTGTAAGTGGTACAAAAAAGGTTCTTTAGTAAATGTCATCTAACTAGATGAGTGACCCAACAAAAGAACAAAAAGGATGACTATTGAACCACCACTCTTGGAAGTGAAACCACTACCACCTTTTATAACACCATAGACATGTTAGATAGATAATTGGTTGACCATGTTGTTATCCTTTTGTGGGTGAATAAATTCTATCACAAGAGGATAAAGAAAATCTCAAGTATTTTCAATACTATAGATAAGAAGAGTATTCGATAGAAAACTATCACCACTTGAGATTTTTATTTCATGACAAGCTAAATAAATGGGAGATTGTTTTTGAAAATGAAGATGGTGTGCAAGAAAATCCCTTACCATAACATCAAAATCGCCGTAACGACTAAGTGAATGCCCTTTTTCGGGACCTAACCGAGTTAGGAAAAGAAGAATTTGAAATGCAAATTTACCAAATTACTCTTAGCCATACCCTACCTAATGTGGAAGAGGTATATGACAATGATGTCTCTATTATATACTCTTGACTAAAAACTTTAAATTTTTATAATTTTATCGATCTCTTAAGATTTAATGAGGAAGCTAAACATGCAACTACAACAATCGTTATTTAGATATCCAAGAGAAAACATGATGGACATTTTATCGTCAACTAGCTAATGGGAAAAATGGTAAAAATTCATGAGAATGGTGGGTTTTCCACCGTTGTTGATTGCAACATAGAGAAGTCCAACTATAACCTTCGCTTTATATGGAGAGAAATGCGAATGATTTCTCCATCTATCGGACCCTTATTGATATATAGTGGTTTGTCTTTGAATCTCATATCTCTCACCACTTTAAAAATGTTTATGAGTTGATGTGAAATGCGTGAACCGGACATCAATTACTCTTAAAGATTTTGACAACACTTTATTCTAAACTCGAGACTATGTAATGGTAGATTCTCAAATAGGAGCTACATAATGCCTAACACATTTTCATGTCATTGATGCTCTATGACCGATCATTTGTTGATTAAGAAGCCTTTTCTTCATAGATATTATTTGATTCTTTTGTCCAAGCATCATTTTTTTTAAAAAGTTTTGGAAAGGGATAAACATTTTCATTCTTGGTATCAAAATGTCTTTTGAGCATGATGAATTTATTTTATAGAAGTATAACTCTATGATGAGCTTTCAACTGATTGCAATAATAGGGTTGGACAAAGTGATAATTATTTCTACTAAAGTAATGGCCATCATGACCAACCATAAGAAGAAAGACAAATGTAGAGAGGGTAAGAGCGAGAAGAGATAATGGCTATGATAATGACAATATTAAGCGAGTTGAATCCTTAGACCAATATTATCACTATGCTCATTAATATTTTATTTTTCATGTATCAATAAATCCATGCGTAAAGAACTTGTTCTCAAATCCCGTAATTCTTGAGTACTTTTTTCTAATAAAATGAACAAGTTCTATGGAAATTTTATTTTGTCTTATATTTCAATTTTTATGGTTAAAAAAAACCTATGAACTTGACATTTTTAAAGAATGGATACAAAGACACATGAGTGTCATACTATCAAAATTTTATAAGAAACACATGACGGTAAAAAAAAAAAAAAAAGCCATGAAACTTTAGCTAAGTCACTTGGCTAGTTGACTTGTGTATTGGCAATCTGTGAGCATTTCATGCTTAGTCTTTCTTCTTGATGGAAAAATCATATTCATTTAGTCAAGCTACATGTTGAACAAGTCATGAGCATTCATGCTTAGTGTTTTTTAGTGACAACATCATGTTTATCTAGCCAAGTTGCATGCCTGGCTATCTAGTGAGTTTTATATAATCATTTTTTTCCTTTTGACAACGGCGTCATATCTATCTAGTCAAGTTTTTTTATACTTAGTTTTTCTCGCTAATGATATAGAATTTCCCTAATGAGTTAAAAATAAAGAGTCTCTACCTAGTACTTTAAGAAGACAAGGAAACCTAAATGTAACATTGTTCTAGAAAATGGGTAAGGAGTTGGTAGTTTTTATGAAAAAATAAAAAAATACCTAAAATGATTGATAGGGTTGTTATGATTTATGTTGATAATATTCTTATGTATAGCTAAAAAGTTAAAAAGCATTTAGAGCACCTATGATAGGTCATTGATTTTTTGAGAGTAGAGATTGTATACTAACATTAAGAAGTGCCACTTTTGTACCAAAAAGTTGTTTTTCTTAGGGTATGTTGTCTTGAGTGAGGGGATAGAGATAGATGGTAGCAAGGTTGAGACTATTCTCAATTAGTCAAGACCTAAGATAGTGATTAGGGTGAGGAGTTATGGTTGATGTCTTTTGTCAAAGATTCATAAAGGAATTTAGTATTATTTTCGCCCTAAACTCTAAGTTATTGAAGAATGATAAATTTGAGTAGACAACTTTGATACCGGAATAATATGATGCCTTAAAAATCTGTAGAAGCTTAATCAGCAATCATAAGATAGAATCTTCTCGAGGTTATTCTACCATAAATAACACAAAAACTATACTACAAAACAACAACAATCAAATCCTTCATCCAATTCCAAACATAAGATAGACTTAGCAAACAAGGCACTTAAAGTTACCCGACTAAGGTGCGGATCTTCTCTATGTTAAACTAGTCCAAACAAGATGAGAATTTACCACAATCTACTTAATATATAGTAGTAAAAGAATTAAAAATTTCAAATTAAACAAAGTTGTCTAAGGCCTTATTTAGGTTAGTTAAAATTTTGTATCCGAATCTATCTCTATACTATCTAAAAATTATAGCAACAAAATTGGTTTTTTTTTCACTCAAAGAAACTCTAAATATCTTCAAATTTTACACATAACCTCAATAGTCCATTAGAAAGTTCCTACAAAGTTTATCCCTCTAACCCTATCCCTTCCAACACATAAAGGTTTTGAGAATAACTTCTAAAAGTAAAGTTAGCTAGTTCATTTAAGTCAATCTACCATTATCATAAAATCATGTAACTCTAATTATCTAACCTTAGAACTAGTCCAAATTTGAAAATCAAAGGAGTAAGAGGCATTTACAAGATAAACACACCAAAAAAGTCTTAAAACCATAACTCCAAGCTCTTACACGCAACAATCTAAAGCCCACCTTAGGCGACTACTCTAAGAATATGCTCCAGGTAATCCTAGTCTAGTTTAAGCCAAGGAAAATACTTGAATATTTGAAAGAATAAATCCTTAAACTTTATTGCTTCTAGAGTCAGCAAGGTCTACTAAATATTTCAACCAAAATTCCTTATAGTGATGTATGGACAATGTTTAAATACTACTCCTAAAAGACTTAGTAGATTTCAGCTAGGGCTTAAATCTTCCCCTAAGCCGAACCTCTGCTCCTAAAAATAAATGGAGTTTGTAATCCATATTTAACTAGGACTTATTTTTGTTTAGTCCAATTATTTATCGATTTATATATTACAAAAACTCATTAAAAACCTTTTCCTAAAAGATAGGAATCTACAAAGCAAAAGGATTCTTAATCCTTTTATAGCTAGCCATCTCCCTATAATTTAGGAAACAAATAATAAATAAGGACTTAATACTTTATTCCATGTCCAACATATAAAAATAAACCTAAATAATAATACTCCAATCCATGAAGGCCTTAAAACATTCAGCCAAGCTTGAAGGAGGAGACACGTTTGTGTCATGATCCCTCAATTCGAGAAGAGTCGACCTCAAAATTTTGATCTTTAGCTTCATCTTCGATATATGGAGAAAAATCTACCACGGTAAAAGTATCCGAAACATTATAGTCTTCATGTAACTCTACCTTGTAAATATTATCATTGATCTTAACTTCTATCCGAAAGGTCCATTAGCATA